CAGCCCAAGGCTAGCTGTATTCATCTGGGGATGGAAGGGATATCTGAGGGATCTTGCTTTTAGTTGAGCTCCTGGGGTCTACCAGGCTAGGGTCCAGTAAGGAGAGAGGCTGTTACAGTTCTTTATTACTTTCCCCGGGGTCAAGATCGTTAGCTCATTTATGAAATCAAGTAATAATTCATTCTTGCCATTATTTTGCAGTTATAAGAGTCTCTCTATTTATTCAAAGATATATACTTACCAAACTGAGCAAACAAGAAGGATTTGCAAACAAAGGGGATTTAAGGAAGTGATATGAAGACACTACTCATTTTCTCAGTATGGGGATACAGCTTATATTTCCAAAAATCTGTAATTGCTTCGCCCCAATTTTTCTTATGACAGACTCCTCTTCCTTCTATCTTGAGAAAGTAAAAATAAAATAAGTATCCATAATTTATGAAAAACATTTTATCAAATTTAATTCTTATGTAATACCTAAGGTTACATAGTATATCAGTTTGCTTGGGCTATAATAGCAAAATATCACAGACAGTGTGTCTTAAACAACAGAAATTAACTTTATCACAGTCCTGGAGGCTAGAAGTCTAAGATTAAGGTATTAATAAGATTGGTTTCTTCTGAGGCCTTTCTTTTTCACTTGTAGATGGCTATGTGCTTCCTCTGTCCTTACATGGTCTCTCCTTTGTACATGTCTGTGTCCTAATCTATTCTCATAAGGACACCAGTCATATTGGATTAGAGTCCACTCTAATGGGCTCATTAATTTACTTCTTATTTCAAATAGAGTCACATTTGAGTTCAACATGTGAATTTGGGTGAGGAAAGGCCATAATTCAGCCTATAACACATATGTAGTAAATTAAGATTCTGAGGTTTAAACAGTAGGTTTTATGACTACAAAGTCCAAATATTTCTACTATAGCAAAGCTGCCTCTGTGTCACTAATACTCTTCTCCTCTGTTTTTATTCTATCTCATTAAGCAACTCTACCTCTCACCATCCCAGGATGCTACTACTTTCTAGTTAGGTTTTACAAAAATTAAAATCCTTCTCTTAAGAAGATAGAGTGGGTAAGCCTAAGGAAAAGAGGCAGCAGTCATGTTGTGAAATGCTTGAAATATAGATTAAGGAGATTGTACAATTATTAGACCTCCCCCCCCCAAAAAATAGGCATTTATTGAATGTATATAGGTTATTTGCAAATAACTATTAGACTATTGGAATTATTCTCGACTGGTGAGAATTAGTTTAAGGAGAAAATAACAGAGAATCATTAGGCTTATCTAGTCCTTATTTCATTTGTTCTTCACCATAACACTGTTAAGTGAACAGAGTCCCTTTATTTTTATCATTTTAGAGAATAAGGAGTTGAAGCTCAAAGAGTTTGTATAACTTGCTCAAGTGGTAGAACTAGGACTCCAACCCACTTCTTTTGATTCAGAGTGCAGTGATCTTTTGCTTATACTGGCTGCCTCCCTATTCAGTGTACCCACAGGATGCCGTGTGAAGTTCTGTAGGTAATTTGTAGATTCGCCACAGGATGTGCTCTCAAAGAACTTCCTTTGTGAAAGATCAAACTATCATACTCCTCACCATCTCCACTCTGTACTCCCTGAAGCCTGTGGACACACCAATGGATATGCATATCCGCATTCACAAAGTCCTGTCTTATATTACACTTATGGGAATGCATTTTCTGAAGATGGAATTACTTAGAGGGATGTGGGCAACTAACTCCTACACAGTATGACTGAGAAGTTCACAAGCTCATATCCTCTTTCAGATATATCTTCACCTGACTGCCAAGGTGCCTATACTTCCTCCTCTTAACTGATTCTAAAACCTCACCTAAAGGAGAGCTAGAATTTTTTTTTTTTTAAGTGGCTTAACTGTCACTATAAACCTGTTTTTCACTAGTGAGTTGTGAAATCAATTTTGTGGGTCATGACCAGCATTTCAAATATGAATTAGAATAAAATAAAATAGAAAACATCAGAGTGTACTGTTTGAAATTAGAAGAAATATTGCTTTATGAAACTTCTGTTGCCATTTTTTTCTCTCTGTATGTGAGTGCCCACATACTGAATCCTTATGGAAGATGTATTTCTTGATCAGTGATAGTGGAAAAAAGGTTGAGAAACAATCTTTTTTTTTTTTTTTTGACAGCTCTTTACACTTTTGTATTGAGTATTCTTTTGATAATATGATAAAAGTTAAGTCTCCCTCCCAAGAAAAATACACACAATTTTACACATCTATGTTTTTGGTACAGTTTTGAAAGGCTTATTGACCATATGAATGTCACCTGCTGGTCTCAAGTTAGCAACACTTGCTCGAGTTAAAATGGCATATTTTCTGGAAAGGGGAGAAATGGCCCTAGAAATTTCTTCTGGTTCCTTTTCTTCAACATGTTCCTATTTTAGCCCGAATACCTTTGGCATTTCAAGTTAAGAGCTTAGCCTAAAGAAGAAGAGAGAATTTATTCAATGTTTTGTTAATAACTTTTTACTGAATAAAATAAAACTGGGGATGCAATGGTGTTCAAACGAATACTGCACTAGCTCCATTGAGCTTAAGTTCTAAAAGCAGAGAAAGGCAATAAGTAACGAAATGAGATGATTTCTGATAAATTTAAGTGTTATGAAGGAGATAATTGGAGTGAGGTGATAGAAAAAATTGGAGAGGAAGTGGGATAGGTTAAGGAAGGCAGTTTATTTGGGCTTGGGGTCACAGAATGTATTCTTTTATTAGCTTGGATTGCTATACTAATATCTGTGGTCATGCCACCCTTAGCGCATTATACCTATCGAGTACTTTACAATATTTCAAAGCACTTTATGAATATTTATTGATTGGTAATTTTCTTTCATTTTTTCAGGATAGATGGAGAAAATATGTTTAAGAGTATAGATTCTGGCATCAGACTGAGCTTGAATCTTTGCTCTGCCCTTTTCTAGCAATGTGGTTGTGGGCAAGTTACTTAATCTCATTAAGCTTCAGTTTCTTCAGGCTTATCTCTAAAACTGGACAAATTAGACTGTTACGAGTATTAAACAGGTTAATAAATGTAAAGACCTTGCTTGCACATTCCATTTTCTGATATCCATTCCAGGAGTCAGTGGTTTTGAAAAACCACCATTTTATATCCCACAATTTGTGGGTCAAGAACATGGGCAGATCTCAATGGAGAAGTTGTTCTATTTCATTCTTTTTCTGCTTCATCAGCTGAAGTTACTCAGTAGTTTTAGCTGGCAGATGAGCTGTTCTGGGGATGTGTGTGTGTGTGTGTTTGGGGGTGTTTCCAGGTGTCTTTATTCATATGTCTGTCGTGTGGTAGATCTGACTGGAAGGCTGGGACTGTAGAACAGAGCTCCTGCATGTGACGTCTTCAGCAGGTTCTCTCAGAATAATCAGATTTCTTAAGTGGAGGCTCAGGGCTTCCTGAAATAGTGTTCTAAGTAAGAGGAAATAAGAGGCGATGGCTTCCTAGAGGCTGGGTCCAGAAACTAACACAGAGACACTTCTGCTATATTCAACTGGTTAAAGCTATCACAGAACCAACCCTGATTCAAGGAGTTATGGACCCCACCTTTCCGTGGAACAAATATCAAAGAATCTGTAGCCATCTTTAAACTGCCACACAATGCACAGTACCTAGAAAGTACTAGATAAATTGAAGTTTGTAATTTGTTATGTTATACCGTTTAAAAATTCTGGTTATACATTTATTTCAGATTGTTATAGCAAAATCCAATTTCGACCTTGTTTTTTTCTTTACTTTCTCTTTGCTTTTTATACTTCTTACATTAGCCCTCATCAGTAGGTGGCAGTTGGAGATTTAAAAACTGGCGTACCCAATGCAGGCCACTGAGCATTAACTGTGTGACTTTCCCTCCCATGATAGCAACGGGTTTTATTTGTGCCACAAGTCATACAGAACTCGGTTTCAGTTTATTCATTGGTAGCCCATAATCCCGCTAATACTACCACGCAATTGTGTGTGTTTCCTCTCTAGAGGCCAAGGACCTAGAAAAAAGGTGATACCTTAGTACATTAAAATTTATTAGTAAACAATCAAATTTTCCTGGATGCATACACTACTCGACTGAACTCTGGGCTCTTCTTTCTATCCCCAACCCCAATGAAATCTTCCAAATGAAAAGAGCAGAAATAAAAATACACATGAAAAGTTAAACAAGTTCACATTGTAAAATTTCTTGTAAAAGCGTGATGATTGTGTGGCATTACTCTCAACAGACATTTCCTGTAACCACTTACTCCCAATAACGAATCAGCAGCTTAATAGGGGTTCTGCATTCTTATCTATTGGATTAGCTGTCTAACTGAGTTATTTATTTGCTTTGGCCAACTCTGCCTATCCCACTTTCCTTTTTATTTAATTTTTCCAGATTTAATACTGCCAGAGGTACACAAGTGCTTTTTTTTTGTTCGTGAAACTCAATGTCAATTTAAAGGCAGGTCCCTGGAGCAGTGAGCATTTGTGACTGGGTCATCTATTTCCCTGAATTTGTTACAGCTTTTGAGATATATGTAAGAAGGATAAAACAGATAAGCCGAATTGGTTTTTGAGACAAGGGGCACCTACAAATGGAGTACTATTGACCATTAAAATGTAGCGTAATTATTTTTTTTTAAGAAAAGATACATTTTATCATTTTATCTTATGTCTTGAAACCAAAATGTCTCTGTCCTGCTTTTATTAAAAAAAATTATCATAATGTAAGTCATACCCATCCCTTTCAACCACACCCCTACTTACCCAGTCCCAGCTGTTTATTAAGTAAATTCTGTTTTGAGGTCATTATTTTCCCCAAGTTTCCCAGAATTACCACTCCTCCATCCCAAAACTGTTTTAATTTGTGTAGCAAGGCTACTTTGGAAGGGATATTTGCTAGCAGAAGTATCGATTCAATAATGGAGTTGCAGTTCAATTGTGGTGACAAGAGGACTGATTTTTTTTTTTTTTTTTCTTTAAGGATCATGAAGCTATTTAGACTCCAGAGGATAAAATTTGTACATGAAATCACCTGATTTTCTTTTTACTGCTTAGGTAATAAACTTGCCTTAACAGTTTGCTCAAAGTTCACACATTTGCACCTTTGAATAGCTTTCAAAAAGAAGGCCCTCATTCCCTCTTTGCAAAAGAAAAAATTGCCTTCTAACAACTAGGAAGGTGATATTCCCCCGAGACCATCAGTCTTCTCATGTGTGACATTATTTCCATTATCATACCGGTACTCCTACAGACTTTACCTGAAGCACAGTGTGGTGGAAAGAGTTCTAATTGAGAGCCAAGAGGACTAGCTTTGGTATTCTCTTCTGCTCTTCACTAGCTGCTTAAATTGGACCTGTATTTAACCTTTCTGATCCTCCTCTTTCTCTGTCATTTAAAGCAAGAATGAGGAACTACATGATCTTATGGGTCCCTTTTAGTTCAAAAGACAAAGATATAACAAGCTTAAAATATTTAGCTTTGGTATGAATTTAGAATGGGTAGTGTCAAATGTTACACTTATATTTTTCTGTTTGTTTTAATGTACTCTTTGATGTTGATTTAAATAATTTCTTTCATCTAAATTTTTTAATCAAAGGCTGCTCCTATTCTCCTTGATTCTCCCAATGAGACACTCCAAGAACCTCACACAGGGTGTGACCATGGAAAGTGTCCGGCTGATTTCCGAGCTGCAGTCACCTTCACTCTGCACAGCAGCATTTCCAAGCAAACTGATGTTCACAGTTCTCCTTCTGGCAGCAAACTACTTGGCCACAGGGTTTGTATCAGTTCTCTTTTTTCCTCAACACAGCACTTTCCCAGTTCATGTAAACTCTATGTTAATTATTTTGGCCGTTAGCTGAGAAAGAAGAAAAGCTCACATTTACTAAATCAAGAATGACAAAGTGGATTCAGAAGTGTTCTCTCTACAAAATGGTTTACGCTCTGGAGCTAATGCAGACTCTGTCTTTGCTTCAATGTGTTGCCCACAAATATCGATTAATCATTTTTCTTTATTAGCTTATGCCCCTTGGTAGTATAATGCATTTGACTTTCCTTCTGTCTTCTAGGAGAGTGGGATGCTATAAACTGAGGCTGATACTGTCAGCAAACGGATTCCAGCAATTTCTAGAGTTGAAGAAACAGATAATATAATGTTAGTCTCCTCTAATAAAAAATATAAATGTTAGAGAGCGGTGGTGTTTTCTGTTTTCATGCTTATGAAACGTGCTGTAGTGAGGTGGAAGACACTGGGGTTAGAATCTGAAGATTCTAATCCTTCTGTTAGTTCCACACTGCTGCCTAAAAGTTTTCTGTGCCCTTTAAAGAAGGACCAGAGGCCAATTCTAAGATGTGCACCGTTGTCAGAGTAATATAAGTGTCTAGGCAAAGAAGAGAATCCACACGAGATATTTCCCTCTAACTCCTTAAAGAGTGTGTATTTTTAGTTGCAAAGGAGAGATTTAAGCTGCCTTTTTAGATCTCAGTTGATAAGCATAGTTTTAGCAGTCCAAACTCTGGCTCCAAGTATGAAAAGAATTGAGTTAGTTTGCTGTTTTCTTCTCATGTTGCACACTGGCTTTTATTATTCAGTCAACACTATGGGAGGGAGAGGTGCCTCACAGCCCCTAGGACCATACTGTCTTATTTCAAAAAAACAGATCATACTAAACTGAGGATTTTTAGTCTCAACTCCAAATTAAGGAGAGAGGAGTTTATTGTCTTAGCTCATGTCAGATGAGTACTTGTCCTTGCACTAGGGGTTTGGTAAGGAAACACATAGCTGGGTCCTGGGAAGGTCTTTCCACCACCTCTTCACTTCCTTCTCCACTACTGTGAACCAGGGAAGCCATTCAAGCACAATTACCTGAAGACTTTTGGCCTTTGTCAAAGACCTGAATTTTCATGGTCACACCTATGCAAATAAAACCCAATATATGTTCTTAATTGATCTGCCTTTTTTTTATGTGCTTGTCAAGAGAGATTTTTCCTTTATGCAAAAATAGGAAGGTCTAAACCTGAGGATGAGATTTACTTCTATTACTATTTCTTTGCATTTTAGGCACGTTTAGTGACTTTCCACTGTGGAAGAGGGGGACTTTGTGCTCTTCGACACCCAATATCTCAACTATACCAACAACACACGCTTAGCTCCTCCTCCCCATACAGCACTCTCACAAAACACATTTCCTATGCCCATCATATAGTCATATCATAATTTTACATAGAACACTAATTACTGTTTTTATTATTATAAACATGTAAATGTTATTTACAGTAGAACCATATAGAATATTGTGTCAGCCAGAAGAGGATAATCCATGTCACATAATGAACAATGCCAGAATCTCAGTGGTTTTGCTCAAAGTTCACTCCAGGATCAAGGTACTGTCCCAGGGAGTTGTCCTTCATGCATTAACCTAGCAATCCAGGGTGTTCTCATTTTGTGGTGTACCAGCTAAATAATTTCTAAGGCAAAGGACAGAGAATGTAGTAGAAATCTCGGGGCTTTTCATTGCTTCAGACCAGAAGTGACTATATACCACTCTTGTTCACATTTCATTTACCCAGACTAGTCACCTGGCTTTGTCTAACTGCAAGGGTATTAGGATGTGGAATTCTCAAGAAAAGAAAAGAAAATGGGAGAATGGGATTATTGGTGATGTTTACTACATATGAGATGATTTTAAATTTTTTTAAACTTCCTGAAGTTTGTTATACTTGTTTTCTTATTTTGTATGCTTACATACACCATTTCGTCTTGACAATAGCTCTTCTTTAGCATTTTAAAAAAATCTTTATTTTAATTAGTTTTAAGTATACAGTACATTGGTTAGACATCTATATAGTTCATAAAACGATCCCCCAATTGCTTCCTCCTTCCCAACCCTCCACCTAACCAGCGTATTAATGCTTAATGCATTCCCTATGCCATGCTCCCCATCTATCAGCTACGAATTTGTACTTCACCCCATTCTCCCAGCCCCTCAACCTCCCCTTCCCTCTGTCCATCACCAAATTGTCCACTATATTTGTGAGTCTCTTTTTGATTAGTTTGTTCTTTTTATTCTTTAGATTCCGCGCATACGTGAAATCATGTAGTTTTTATCTTTCTCTGTCTGACTCAAATACCTTGTAGGTCATCAAAGCAATATCTTTTTCCATCCTCTTCCTTTTAGTCTGTGTGTCTTTTAATCTGAAGTGTCTCCTATAGGCAACATATGTAGGGGTCTTATTTTCTTATCAATTTAGCCACCCTGTCTTTAGGTTGGAGCACTTAATTCTTTTCCATTTAAGGTACTTATTGATAGGAATATAGTTGTTACCATTATTTATTCCTGTTTTTGATACATGTTTTTTTCCTTTTAAAGAAGTCCCTCCAACATTTCCTCTAATACTGGCTTAGTGGTGATAAATTCCTTTAGCTTATTTTTGTCCGGGAAGCTCTTTATCTGTTCTTCAACTCTAAATGATAGCTTTGAAATCAGCTGCCAGTCTTATGGGTGTTCCCTTGTAGGTAACTATCTGCTTTTTCTCTTGGTGCTTTTAAGATTCTCTCTTTGTATTTAACCTTTGACATTTTAATTATAATGTGTCTTGGTGTGAGCCTCTTTGGATCCCTGATTTTTGGATTCTCTGAGCTTCCTGGGGTTTTATGTCTATTTCCTTCATTGGGTTAGGGAAGTTTTCCATCATTATTTCTTCAAACAGCTGTTCAACATCTTGATTTTCTTCAGTTATGCCAATCAGACAGATATTTGGACCCTTAATAGTGTCCTATATGCTCCTTAAATTATTTTTATAACCTTGGCATCTTTTTTCTTGTCATTGTGATTGTGTGTCCTTGGCTTTCCCATACTCTAGATAGGGCATTTGATCTTTTTCTTCATTCATTTTGTTTAGTCCTTTGTTTATTCCATTTAATATACTTCTCATCTTAGATAATGTGTTCTTTATTTTGGACTGGTTCCCTGTTATAATTTTCATTTCCATTTTTATGCTTTTTATCTCTTGGTTGAAGTTCTCACTGAATTGCTCTACACTTCCCAAAAGTTCATCGAGCATCTTTATAATCAGTATTTTGAACTCTGCATCTGTTAGATTACTTGACTCTATTATATCTGGATCTCTGTTCTGTTCTCTCATATGGTTTCTGTTTCTTTGTCTTCCCATTTTGGCTGCCTTTCCATGTCTGTTTCTATGTAATAAACAAAGCTCCTAAGTCTCCTGGTCTTATTAGTGTGTCCAGTGGCACAGTCCTGAGAGGGGTTCAGCTGCAGGCCAAATTTAGCCCAAGCTTGTACCCCTCCAAGGCCACCTGTTAAGATTCAGCAAGCAATACACAGATGCTGTGCTTACAGTTGTCTCAAAAGGCCACACCAGAAACTGTGGCCAGCTACCTCCACTGTGAGTCTAGGCGCTGCTCAGCAAGGAACACCTGACTCACTGGGGAGATACCTGGACATGGCTTGAGTGGGGCCACGAGTTGGAGGAGGGGAGGTTTTGAGGAATCCTCTGGGCGGAGCGACCTCTGTTATCCAGTTTGATGACATCACGGCTATGGCAGCTCTGTGGCCGTGCACTAGGAAGGGGGAGGGCTCAACAGGGAACAATGGATACTGCCAGCACTTCTGTATAGAGTCTCGCCTACAGCCCTCACTCCAACAACTCAGTGTCCCTCTGTAAGTCCCTGGTGCCCGCTGCATGCAGCTGAATCAGCACTGGTGCTCAGAGTGAGCAGATCCGTCACCTCACAGACTCGGCCCCTTTAAGAGGCGTCTGCTTCTGCCACAGCCTCCATCTCACTCTCACTCAGCCACTCGAGACCAGGCAGCCCCACATCCTCGCCCCATCTTACCTTCTGCCATTTCGGGGTGCTTTCTTGGACTTCTCCCTAGTTGTATGGCTTGTTCATCAAGATCCCAGGCAATTGTTCCTTGCTGCTTACTCCTTGTTTCAATCACCACTTTGATTTGGTCACCAGAGGGATGAACAGAGCCTCTATCATCTATGCTGTTTTCCCACACTCTCTTCTTTAGCATTTTGACCAGCCCCAATCTATACTGGTTTTCTAGATATCAGATTATATATATTTTTTTAAATTTTTTCTACCTCTCACTTAACTTGATCCCAAATATTATTAATTTTTGGTTTACGTACTCATTCTAGAGGAACACGTCTTCGGATTACCTGAGAAAGAGTACATTGGAGGTAAATTGTTTAATAACTTACATGCCTAAAAATGTCTTTATTTTATTGATATATGTGTGTGTTGTTCATCCATTGTGTTGGCCACTCAGTGAGTTTCTTCAAGTATAATCTGAGATCTTTCAATTTAAGAAATATTCTTGAAAATAAATTTTAATTATTTTTTTTTTCTGTTATGCTTTTCATATCTCTTATTTGGTGGATATTGTACCTCCTATTCTGGTCTTATAATTTTCTTATATTTTACATTTTATATTTACTTTTAAAATATTATCTTTTAACATTTTTATTTGATTTTTTAATTTGTACAGGAACATTTTAAATTTCAAAGGCCTCTTTCTTGTTTTCTGATTATTCCTTTTTTAGAGTTAGCAGGTCTTATTTCATGAATGAAATGGCTCCTCTGTTTTCTCTGTTAATAATGTTAATAATGTTTTCCCATCACCCTCCATGCATAGATTCTGTTTCCTTTAAGTTACCTTTTATGTTGGCTTGTTTTGGCTTGTCTTTTACTTTAGAGACTTTCTTCAAATGTTTGGTGATTTTGGGATGTACATATATAAAGGTTGGGCATATAAAAAACAAATGTTTGTGTGTGTGTGTGTGTATATATATATATATACATATATACATATATATATATGTATGTGTGTGTTTATGACTTGTTGATTGGAGATTTAATCGTAAATTGTTCTTATTAGACTATTCCAATTGGAGGTTGCAAGTCAATATGTTTAGATCTTTTTTATTGTGATTAATTTAGAATTCTCCAGTTAAAAACCTTCTCCTGACTGGTTGATACTCGCATCCTCAGGGATAGGAAGAAAGAAGTGGGGATTTCAATATAAATGTATAAGTGTTTACTTAGTTTCTCTGTTTTTAGTATAGACGATCATATTCAGAAGCCTGATATTGGAATCTC